TTTCAACTTCTAAATGATCTTTCGCGTTTTTGACAATCAGTTAGAGTACAATATTTTGAAATGAGTAACCATTCGAGTTTAATGTTTACTTATAAATAGCATGGTTCAGATTGAAATCTTACAGAATACATCAATTCCCTAAAGATTTAGATACCCCTTCTTGATATATGTCAACTAACATGAAATCTAGCTTGATGGCGGTTGGCTTCAATCACGTCTAATATAAAATTTATTTATGCTTATACATACATACTAGATCTGAGCACTTATCATTCCACATACTAATTATACTCGTTTAGTTATTAATTTGAAATATTCGTCATTTATTGTCCAACAAATGCGTTGGTTGCTAACATAAATTTTCAACGATATTTGATTGTCCTTATAGTTCATATCGCCGAATGACCTTAGTTGAACTTACAATGAAAATCATAAAGCGGTGGATACCTGATTTGTCCTAGCATGGAATTGCCTAATCATACTCATCAACGACACCATTGTGATCAAACTCAAGACCTTCATACCTCATGGAGATCATTTATCTTTCAGATTACTGAAAATAAAATCCATTTCGATTTGTAATCAACTTGTCGAATTTTGTAATCACCTTCCTACCTCATAAGGAAATAACTGTCTCATACTTGACATGATTGAGCTACATTAATCATATCTTTGCACTAAAATTTCCATGGTTACCGCTCAAAATGAATCACTACCGACTATATATTTGATTTCTACTATGAGGGTTTGTGGAGAGTATTGATTTATTAAACTGAGTTTACTGATAAACACTAATTTTTAGGTTATTTGATGAAGTACTTTAAAGTGTCGAACGAATATATTTACAAGTGTCTCTGATTGTGTTTTAATATTAATTTCCATTAGAAACGATCAATATGTACTTAACAAGACAACAATATTATCGTAAAGATTTTCCATAAAACTATGCATCAATATATATAAGACTATAATGGTTCTATTCAGAATGTACGGTAGTTAATGTTGCATAATGAGAAAAGAAAATCGAGTGAAATTTGCTTAGTTACTATTTATTATCTATAGGATTCCTTAAGGAATTTAAATGACTATAAAACGTTTTCACACAACGGCATTACAAAAAACTTAATTAAACTTTGTTTGATATAGATTTGTTTAATTTAAAATCAATACTAAAAACCATCTGAACTCTACCCTGAGAGTTGAAGGATCTTCTTTCAGAAGAATTGTGACGCCTCGAGGTGAAAGCTGATATTCTTCGGAAGTCACAAGGCCGATTTCCCCTCTAGCAACCAAAGCAAAGATTAAACTGGAATGTTAAGGCAATGTGGGAGACTGGGAAGATCAATCGAACAGATATGGAAATGAGGAGATACAAATTGGCAGTATTCGGAGTCAGCGAAACCCATTGGAAAGAAGCTGGACAGAAATGATTAAATACAGGAGAGATGCTGCTATACTCTGGCCATAAACAGGGAGTTGCTCTGATGCTGTTCGATGAAGACCTAAACGCCAAAGTCGGATAGACAGCACCGGATATGAAGATATCATGGGACGATATTAGACCGACTGGGAAAAAGGAACGACAATGGTAAGAGATTCGCAAATTTATGTGCATTCAACAAAATAGTTATATGCGGCATACTATTACCACACAATCCCACACACAGAGCTAAATTGGTCTCACAGGATCACACTACACAGAACCAGACAGATCATATATATATCAATAAAAAATTCAGAAGGTCAATAGAAGACGTGAGAACCAGGTTCAACACAGACTTCCTTCGATATACTAACAAACTCAACGAATCCAAGATAACTCCAAACAACAGGTTCTAAGCCTTACAACATCTACTGAAAGAAAAAGAAACCACCATGATGGACAATTGGAAAGGGATCGAAGAAACACTAAGTTCAATATGTCAGGAGGGTTTGAACTAAAAAAAGCACCATCATGCAGAGTGGGTCTCTATCAAAACCCTGGACATGATTCAAGAAAGGAAGAAGAAGAAGAAAGCAACTAACAACAGTCGAACAAGAACAGAGAAATTCAAGGCAGAAGCTGAATACACAGTAAATAACAAGCAAGTGAAGAAGAGCATTAGAGCCGACAAACAGAATTATGTGGAGGACTTAGCAATGACAGTGGAAAAAATGCAAGCGAACGAAATATGAGAAGACTATATAACACAATGAAGAGACCAGTAGCAAAATATTGGAAACCAGAGAGACCAGTGAAGAACAAAGAAGGAAATCTAATCACTATGATTCGGGAATAGAGGAACAGATGGGTAGAACACTTTGAAGAACTACTGAATAGATCAGCCTCAATGAACCTACTGGACATCGAAGCAGCAGCCACACATCTTCCTGTAAATGTCGCTCCACTAATAGTAGAAAAAATTAGCATTTCAATAATATTTGATTATTTCAATTTAAGATTTATTAGTACATTTCACTATTATGAAACGGGATCAACACGAATTCGATATATTGGACAAATAATACACAAAAGTACATCGATATTAATAATCACCCTAGGAATAAGCGAGAGAGAAAACTGAACTTTAAGAAGAGATCCAATATACGTAGAAGAATTCAAATAAATAAAATAAATAAATTATATGGTGACTTTTACAAGTGAGAGCAGCCAATCAGAGGATGGTTAAAGTCACAGTGGTACTTCAAGGCCTGTTACTCCTCGTGGAGGAACATAAGCCGCTGATCATGATTCTCCAAGCAACTCTGTCCTGTGCGATCCTTCCCAGTTGTTGCTAAGTACTATCCATTCCTTTGATTTCTCCCTCCAATTGACTGAGCAATGTGTTCTTTGGTCTTCCACTCTTCCTGTTGCCTTCAGAATTCTAAGTTACTGCTTATCTCGTGATGAAGTTTGATGATTTCCGCAATGTATGTCCTATTCACCCCCATCATCTTCTTCTAACTTCCTCTTCAATTGGAAGGTGGTTTGTTCTCTGCCGTGGTAGGTTGTTGCTGTTGGTATCCGGTCAACGGATCACGAGTACCTTGAGTTGACGACTGTTTATAAATACCTGTACTCCTTTGATGATGATTGCAGTAATTCTCTAAATTTCAAATCTGTACGATAAATCTGTTTTGACATTTGTATTGAAAATCCGTCAAGACTGTAATTTATGGACAATCTTTGAACGAATCTTAGGTGATTTTAAGAAGTTTCAGCCAATCAAAAAAGTAATCAGTATAGAATAAGTAAACATTACACAAAACTGAATAATCAGAGTGGATACACTTTTTTAACATGGTTTAAAAACTTTTCAAGGTTAGGAAGAGGCTCTGCAGTTCTGAAATCGTAATGCATACGGTACAGGACTCACCCATGTCACTCCATAATAGTTGACTTCTGGATCTATGATAAGGTCGCAAAAATTATTTTAGCCTCGACCACATTGCTTCTATACTATTGGTGTTTATTCCTATGGTGGGGTCAACAAAATGTTGCTTGTGCGCGACCTTAGCGTACACACAACCAAGCCTAGATAGCCATCGATATGTTCTACAGTCATCTGTGTACATTGTGGTATCCGGCTGCACATACTCTCATATGATTGGCATTATCTTTGTAGTCTATCGGTTTCTTATGCCCTTGAACTGTCCCAAAGACCTGCTGAGTATACTTAAGGAAGTGTTACTTACTCAGTCATTTCTTAACTCTTTTTCCTCTTTTGAATTCGCGTTTTCTAGCAACTGTTCCGTCGATTTCTATGATTCTCCAGATTCCTCCAAATGACTGATTGATGCTTGTTATTTTCATTGCACATATATCTCAAAATTACTCATACCACTGAACTGCCAAAGCTTCAGGAACATTTGCAAAGTTTACGGACAGTGTTACTGGTGCTTTTATTATCCAGTTTACAACAATTATCGTAGACTATTTTGTATCAATGGGGATCGAGTGTGAAAAAGTCCCCGTTCTAGCAAACATTTTCCCCAACATATATTACATCGAAATACAGTATCGTCACGATAGTCCGCATAATGTCTAGGAGTCACTTGAACACCTCAGTCACAAATACAGTAAATTCTCAGTAATCACATCTGTTTTAGCTGTTCAACTATAATGTGATCCTCAAATTCGTTGTAAACCGATCGTACGTGAACATTGGGTGTTGAAATAGGCGCCATTACCTTGAAATCGCTCACTTGCTTCTGATCGGCTCTTCCATACATTATAAATGCTAGTTTCGGTGTTATCTGACTACTGGTCTGAGTTCCGTATTTTCTTTATTCGTAGAAATTCCGCCTGTGAAACTGAATGAAGTGGATTTGAATCTAACAGGGAGCTGATGCTTTCAGTAGGATTGTAGATACACTTTACTTAAAAGTGTCATATAACATGAATTTCGGATAGATCAGAATTTCCCACTGATCTACTCCAACCATCCAGTACCAAGAACTGACGTTTGTTCAACGATAACAAATGAACTGTAAAAGATATTTGTTTTTGTAACTATTAAGTTTTACTGAAATTCAGCACCAAGTGTTTATCGTTTCGAATATGAGAAAATAAACTTTAGAATTACGACTGGAAATTACAGGCTACTTCTAATAAATCTTAGTTTACCTAAATTAATTTAAATAAAAATCAGAAGGGGTTTGTGGAGATTTTAGAAATTTCACAGATTGGAATCATGAGTAAATTGAAGTTGGACCACCATGGAAAACCTGGAAGCACTGGACGGCCGTTTCGTCGTAGTATGGGGCTCCTCAGTAGTGCGCATCCACGATCCCTCACCCCGCGAGACTCGAACCCAGGACCTATCAGTCTTGCGCATGAGCGCTTAACCAACTAGACCACTGAGCCGGCATCCAATGGTGGTCTAGCTTCAGTTGACTCATGATTTCAATTTGTTAAATAAAAATGTAAATTCAACAGTTTACTTTACAAATTATTATTTAAATTAATGAATCCTGGTTAAATGTTCGTTTGTTTATTTTTTTTCTTTATATTCATTTAGATCTTACTGATGATCCATCACAAATTGACTGTACAATTATTTTAGAATTTGCATTAATCAGTCAAAATCGTACATTTAAGCCAATTTTAATCAATATTCCTGTAAATATTCAAGATATTAACGATAATATACCACGCTTTGATCAATATACAAGTGGATTAAAACTTGAAATAAGTGAAGATATATCAACAATTGATCAATATTATGTATCATCTATGTTATCATCATTATCGGTACCACAATCATCAGTATCACCATATTGGATGCCATATTTGACTACAGAAGGTCCCTTAATTCACAATAGCGGTAGTAGTAGTAGTGGTGGTGGTAAAAAGCGCGAAATTGCTATTTTACCCTTGGCAAAAGATTTCGATTATGGATTAAATGGTACTGTAGCTTATAAATTAGAGGTAAGTTCCTGTTTATATCAAAAACTGTTATAGATGTTTTTATAGAGATATTGTGGAGATTGTTGACATTGAAGTGTCACATCCGAAATTGACTTTGTATAGACAATTATTAAAAATTAGGAAACATTTTACAGTTGTTTTATTATGAAATGCTTGAACAACAAGACCTTCCAGTCATTTGGTCAGAGCTTATACAACTGAAGACGAATATCACCCATAGCAGCCGACAGTGGTAGCGCAATCTCACAAAATCTTTGAAGTTAGAAATGCCAACTTTTGGATGATGATCTAAAGTTAAGGGCTTATCAAGAAACTTGAAGACTCTAGATTCAATCGAAATTGGGGTTGTAAGTGTACCCTTCTAAAGGGATTCATACAAGTACACAACTGTATTTTCATTGTTTTCTGATCTAGCTAACATCGATCAATGATATAAACTTTATTCAAATATTTAATTCATTGAATGGGGTTTCATTTAAACATCTTCATTTTAATATATTCAAGTACTAATGGGAAAGACATATTTTCTGATTTGCTTGCGACTAAGCACAATTTTGATATTTTATACTTTAATTGGAAAATCCTGTCGTTCTGACTGATGGTTATTATCGTTTCATGTCGTAATATCAAATAGTGTTTTTTAATTTATAGCTTCCAATGAAAAAACCGAGTTTGTTTTCTACATAACAATGATAAAAGTATTGGGTTCAATTGTAGCTTGAAACACCTCAGCGAACTTTATTCATATGGAACCTAACCTAAGAGGTACATGTCTCATTTGCAATCACGTTACTATTAGATCAACCAACGCACATGTTTTTCCGTCCCTCCAATTTTTACTCAACTCAACGTATTTCCACTGTATTCACATAAGTCCGATCATTACTATTATTGACTTGACTGATAGTACTAATAATAACAACAGACTGCAATAAAATATTCGGAATTTTTCTAACAAAGCAAATTGTTAACAAGGAATAGTTTACAACAATTTGAATAATCTGTTGGTAGATTTCACTCTTATATGATGCATGAGACCATTTGGGGACAGTAGGTGCCCAACTTGTTTTTATCAGTCGATTAAAATAAAAATGATTTCAAATATAAATTTACTTAGACAGTTAGACACTAATTATCGTAACTGATTGATGACGAAGTAGCAGTGGTGAATGTGATTCTTGCCCAATTGTCAGTGCTATTATAATTTTATCGACCAAATGACAATTTGATCTCTAGTCCAAGTGAATTGATATCACATGGACCATGTTGTGGTGTGCGCCTTGTTGACGATTGTCAACAAACATGAAATCAAGGTCGAATAAGAATTCCCACAGACTAATACCAACCATTTCACATCTCAATATAGTGTGCGCCTTGTCTGGTCACTTAAACCAGTGGTCGTCACATTACAATTTCATCGATAAAATTTGATCATAACTGAGGACTACGTGAACATGACACTGCTCACTAATACTTAGTGATCAACCAACTACAAATATCTTAGTCGTGTAGGAGATCGATATGTGCTCAAGTACCTCAGTGGTAACGCCTCGGACTGTGATGCTGGATGACAGGAACTGGAATGTCATAGGTAACATTGTTTTTTTTAAAGGTTCTGGATAAAATTTGATAACGAGTACCAACCAGTATAAAACTTAAGCAAAACAAGGTTTTCTAGTGACCACCTCCAACCACCTAAGATTGAGTATTTTCTTGTAATGACCTGACATTATTTTATCGACAACATCGGAATTTATTTTGCTACTGATAATCATAAAAGGAAGTCCTAATTTGCTTGATAATCATCTTACTATTACATGAATACTTGACAACCAACGCTATATGACTTAACTGTAAATGGATACTTAATTGGGATTGATTCGATAAATATTCTTTTCAGGTATCCTGTTTTTGGTGAAAAAATTAATGAAAGAAGAGACATGAATCCATTATATGGTATAGCATTATTTATCAATGTTAAATCTTATTACAACTGAATCTTAAAGAACGATAAATTGTCTACTCTGAAACCGACTAACTAATTATTAATTAGGGTATTTTAAATATAAATAATTTAGTCTAACATTAATGAATATTTATTAAGTCGAATGGTCTTTTCAGTGGAAACAAACAATCTTTATATTTGTATCTTTATTGATTTCATTTTTACTTCTCAGTAAATTACCGTTAATATTGACGACGAAAAATGATCTTGATTATTTAATTGAAAATGCTTGACATTGCACAGATGTAACCCAGTACTTAGCATGTTCAAATGACTTTATATTATCAATTGATAGTCAGCGTGAAGTAGTCAACAATATACTAAAAAATCTACATAATACAGTTGTGCATAACAATTTGTGCATCCATGGCGACTGTTTTACGGTCATCAATAGAATAACTAGGTTCGAAAATAACTTTCTTTACCGGATACTTTTTGACTTCTGATGAGAGTGTCGTTTATCAAATTGTGGCCATAGGAGAGACAATATTGACACTATCAGATCCATGCCGACTTATAACACCTGATTTTAAGTTTTATGTACAAGATTTTTACAAATGTTTTCATATAGGTTTTCCATTTTTATGTGAAAGCTAACTTTATTTCAAACTGATATCAATACAATACTAATGAGGACGAGACCATTAGGAATAGTTAGTAAATGTCTCATTCTCCTTAACATTGGAAAATGTTAACAGTTTAGAGGTTGTGTTTTTACCGGAAATCGAAAGTCCTATCTGAGTCCAGTCACGGGTGGCGTGGTCTCGGACATACTTTCACAACTGATTGATCAGTGGGTGGTGATCAATGTCATGTGTGTCAAGTCCTTATTTAGTGCAGATCGAATGCTATCGACCATGTTACAATGTGGCCACCAGTCTAGGTGACTCGACACTGCGTGCACTATATATTGAGATTAGATGGTGGTAGATGGAGGTAGCCGACAGGAAACCCTGGACCCGGATTTCGTGCTACTTGCCACTCGTCAGCAAGGTGTACCTGTAATCTTGAGGGAACCGGTGCTCCCTGGCGGATTCGATTCCGTGTCACCCAGCTTCACAGTCAGAGACGTTACCACTGAGCTATCCGGGCCGCGACCGACCTTCTGTAGCACCAGTTCCCTCAAGATTACAGGTACACCTTGCCGACGAGTGCCAAGTAGCACGAAACCCGGGCCCAGGGTTTGCTGTCTACTACCTCCAACCACCATCTAATCTTGGAGATACTTTGCTAAGGAGTCTTATTATAGAACGAGACAATTTAATAGTATTTTCTGGTTTTCAATAATTCATAATGTTAATCATCAAATGATCATATCGAGTCTAACCACTCAGAATGTACATAAACCAATAAAGACAAACCTATTAGAGTATTTAAAATCAATCAAGGAAAAGCATAAACCTTTACAAATTATATACTACTAAGATAATCAAAAAGAAGTAATCATCAAACAAATCGATACTACAAAGAAAAAAATAACAAAAATTAAACGACACCGATAAATGTATCTATGTGTGAATATAAGTCATTCTAATCTAACTATCCATATATGTGTGTTCTTTGTTCAATTATTCATATATTCAATTATCAATGATGAATATCAAATTAAACGCTACTTTTCTTTTCTCTACAAAAAAATACAAAGAAAAATTATTTATGATTTACAAATAAAGAAATAAATAAATAAATTAGTTTAACTAGGAAGAAGCATCCAAGACTCTGAATCCTACCCAACTCATTACTTCAAGTTTTATTGATGCTTTTATTATGGCAAACACAATTCATACTTAGTTATCGAAATAAAACAATTTGTTATCTATGAGTGAAAGATTTTCATCGATTGATTAATAATTAGTTGAGAGACAGGCTTCAAAATTTGAATTTATACGTGATGACGGTGCACTTAATAAGTACTTGTTCCTCAATATGTATGTATGTGTGTATGTGTGTCGGTTTTATCGAAATGTATTAGTTTTTGGTGGAGTTTCGTTCTCTGAGCTGGATGGTTTGGTCGTGGAGCTTTCATCGTTCTTCTGAACGACATCATCAGTCTTCTATCTGAAGTTTGTGTTGATGATGTCGTTCAGAAGAACGATGAAAGCTCCACGACCAAACCATCCAGCTCAGAGAACGAAACTCCACCAAAATCATCCACCTGAGCTACAAATCTTCTCCACCATCTCGAAATGTATTAGTAGACATAGAAACTAAATTGGTTTCTAATTGAGTTGGCTCAACATCAAAAAACATTTCTAGATTGCAAGGGTAAATTAAACGAATATATGAATAAGAGATTAGGTTATTTTTTATATAGAAACATTTATGAATGGAAAGCAAATACATAACTAAAGCTTAGTAAATATTTTTCATATGAATATTGTCTCCAATTAGTTTATATAAATAGGTCTTTATCTCTCGTTTGCTCGCCTTCTCTAATACATTTTACAACTTGTATCACGAAATGTATTAGTAGTATATTTTTTTGGAATCAGTGTAACGCCCAAATGTTACTCATGTAATATGTTAATCATTTGATTTTATTGTATATTGGCGTCTTATTTTATTTGGATAATTGAGATGCTTAAAATAAAAGACAATATTCATATATTTCATCTATGTTGTCTAATATGATTTTTCTAAAATTCCGAAACAATAGATTGTTTATTTTATGTGAATACATTAGCTTATTGATTGAGATCTTGAACCGATTGATGTTAGACTATCATCGAAAACCTTGAAGCACTGGACGGACTTTTCGTTCTATTGTGAGACTCCTTGTCGGCGCGCATCGACGGTCCCGCTCGCAGGATTTGAACCCACGGACTTCAGTCTTGCACATGAAAGCTTCACCTATTAGACCACTGAGCCGGAATCCAACGATGTTAATGTCTAACCTCAACCAATCTACGAAATGGAGCGACCAACATCCATTGTACTGAGGTAGATACCTGTCTCTACCCAACACGGAATTCCGCGAGCGGGATCGTGGATGCGC